GTCCCTAGCCCCTACATCTGTGCTTTAAGCTCAGGTTTGGACATTCCTCTCCACTGTCTGCCAATAATATGCCAAAATCTTGCTTGTCCTTCTAAGTTTATCCCCAAATGTTGGTTTTCAGAGGTAGCATTTCCTGATCCTGAAAAGAATTGTTCTTCCAAACACCTCTAAAGAACATTGATATCATCATCATCTGGCACCACCTCTATCATCACCAATATCACCACACCCAGTATGGCACATTGATTGAACCTCTATGGACTCCCTGATGGACTATAGTTTTTTGCTCTGAGGAGTAAATGAATGTCTTGTAAGCTAAAAAATAATTGGCCAGTGGAATAGTAGCTTAAGCAGCTGGATTCCACATACCTGACTTTCCAGTTTGAGTCCTAGACCCTGCAGCTTGAAAAATAATGCTGGACATGTGTGCATGTGTGCCCAAAATCCTGAGGAAAGACTGGAAGAAAATGAATTGTGGTGTGCCCATCCCCCCTGGGGAGTGATTTCTCACTTTCACACACTCTCTCTCTCTGGCAAGTGCACATATACTCTATAACAAAACTAAATAATAATTGGCAATTGTTTTTCATCATTCACTACTAGTCTAAGGTACTTGAAAGTAAATGGTTTTACACTCACTAAGGCATCTAGTCCAGCTCCTGGCACCTGGTGTCTTCTAAGTTAGCATCAACTATAAGAAACATCAGAGATCAAAAAGATAATTAGACCCTGCTCTCCTCAATATCTTCATTAATAAGCATTCACCAGTATCTCTTCTCTTCCCCAATAGAAGGCTGCTAGACTTCTTGTAATTGTCATTTTCACAGAGATCTCTGACCACCAAATCTAAAGTAGTTCTAGCACATTTTACTGCTCCTGTTCATTTTCCTCATAGCCTTTGTCCTAAGTAAATGTGTAGACTTATCGTCCAGTTGCTTTTATGCCTGTTTTCCTTGCAAGTCTATAACTTCCATGAGAGAACATATCACGACCACATTGGTTCCTCCTGAAACAGTCATCTCTTAATCATTTGTTGTATATTTTGCAAATATTTACTCCAAGTCTACTGCTCAATTTTTAACTTTAACTATTCTTTTAAAAAAGTTTGTTCGTTCATTTTTTCCAGGAGGGAGAAAAACAGACAAGAGAGGCACCCTAACAGACTCCTCACACTGTGATCCATCCACAAACTCAGCCAGCCAGGATTGTACCCGTACACAGGGTGAGGTAAGGGTGGGAATCCAGGACCTTCCCGTCTACCTTAAGCATTGTATGACTGCTGTGCATATGACTTTACATGTTTTATGGTGAAATGTGCTCATCTTTCCATCATGGGATGGAAGTCCATTTTTTAATTGAAATGTGTATTTTTAATTGCTTCCTTGGAATGTGTTTGTAGAGGTGGAAAAATGGAATAGACTTCTATTTAAGGGTCCTGATGCATTTTGCCAAACTGGCCTTCCCCCACCCTCTGGCAAAGTGTCATTTGTATTCTTAAAGCTCTACAAGCATTTTATGCTAGATTTTCCAGGCTAGTTGTACAGAATTAATTTAATGTTGGGTAAGTGCCCCCTGAAAATTTCTAATTGAAACTAACATCTCAAACAGGATTGCTGTGTTCAGCTCTGTCTTCAAGAGGTAGCTTTTATACCACCCCCACCTCCAGTACTAAATCATCTAATTATCTTTTCATGATTTGCTTTTACTCAAACAAATGCATGGATTTGTCCAAACCCATTGCCCTCAGATAATCTGAGTCTTTTTGCTTCACCTCTGTCCCAACTGGATCACCTCCAAAATGTGTGGGCAACATGAGAATAGAAATGATACTCTCTTTTCAGGTCACCCTCCAATCATGGTAACACAGAGTGTCTTAGCCAACTAGGTAAACAACTTGGCCTGACCATTCCAGCCCAGTTACGGTAAATGTTGCTAAGTATAACAGTTCCCATTCTTCAGAAATGACATAGAAGAATATAATGCACTGTGAGAGTAACCTGGTAAATATTATTGGATGAGATGACATGGAGACAGAATTTTGGTGACCTCAGATCACAGTTAGCCTTTCTGTGAACATCATATGACTTCGCTGATCTTTAATCACCTTGCAATACACAGAGTAGGTAGTGTTGGGAGAGCCACACTAAGAACTCAATGGCCTTTGGGAAACGGACCTTACCTGAATTATATCTGACCATAATGCATGATTTCCATGACATTTCCTATTTCCTATGCAAATTAGAGTATAATTCTTTGATAAATATATGTGTATATATATATATATATACACACACATATATTTCAGATCCTATCTATGGAAAGAAAAGCAAATAAAGGTCTTTACTTTAAATGTACTTACTTCATCAAAGAGTCTTACTTAAGTCTTTTGATATCTTGAAAACATTTCCTTGCTTCAGCAGGTGGTTCAAATATTTAATAAATAATTCCAAGTATAAAAATATATGTTATGGTCTCAAAACCTATCTATAAGTCGAGATGAAACTTAGAACATCTCCATATTGCCACACAACTGTTTCAGCATAAGTGTTTGAGTTACTGTGTGTTTCATTTTATCTATTTGTTGTTTGTGTGCATGTATGTCTGTGTGTGTCTGATCCTAGTGCAATGAGCTTTTTTTTTTTTTTTTTTTTCAGTCATTCCAGAATCAGTGTCTCTAAGAACTAGGGCCCTGCATAGGGGCTTCCTCATCATTGGAAGATTATTGTTGATGAATGGGTTCATGAGGCTGTTTCTTGTAGATCTGAGCAAAGTATCTGGACACAAGGAAAGTCACATATCCTAGAACATTTCTAGGCAAGAGAGGACTTAGTAAGAAAGAGAGTACAGTGTCTCCACACAGGCCACGCAAGTATCAGAACCTGCCAGCACTGGCTCAGGTCCTCAGTAGTGGTAGTGAAGTTGAGAGGAACAGAACTTATGCTTATAAAATATCTAACAAGAGAAGTTAAATAGGCAGGTGAATATAGGAGTCTGACTCTCACAGGGGAGTTGGTACTAGAGACTGAAATTGGAAATCATTTGGGGTCAGCAGGTGATCTGGTGGGTAAGGTGCTGGATTTCCAAATGGTCAACTTTGATTGAAGTCCTGGACCCTGTGGCTTGAAAATCATGCCAGGCACATGTGTATGCATGCCCAAAATCCCTAGAGGAGAATGGAAGAAATGGGATTGTGGCATGGCCATCTTACTAGGGGATGATTTTTCACTTTCCCTCCCTCTGTCTCTCTCCAAGCAAGCACATGCACCCCTATGGAAAAAAAAAAAAAAAAGAAAAAAGAAAAAAGAAAAAGAAAAAGAAAAAAAAAAAGAAATGGACAGTCTTGTTGTTCTCAACCTCACTCAGTCAAGTAAGATCTAGGGAAAAGAACCAAGAGTGTCAATGGAGACCAGGAGCATCCAAGACTTTCCAACTTTCCTGTTCTGCTCATAAATGTAGAGACAGGAAGCCAAAAGAGATCTTTCATGACTAACCACCATTTTAACTCCCTACTTGTGTACATTTGTAACCACCTCTCATACTCCTAGCTTGCTTGAACACCGTAACTTTATTCCCTCGTTCCTTTAGAATGCGAGAAAGGGAAAGGAGGTTAGGATAATACTTTTATGACGGGTTAAGTGTTTCAGCCACTGTCATTAACACATATTGAGTACTGAAAATCAACATAGGAATTATAAAGATGCATCAGACTGGGTCCCTACCAAGGAGGGTCAAGGGAGAGATCATATGAGAAGACAAAGAGTTACAATATAATGCCATGAGTGACAAAGACTTTATATGGTAGAAGGACAAGAGAGGAGCAGTCAAGAAAGATCTATTGGAGCAGATTGTGTGGGACGCACTATTTGAGGGTATACTAGGATGTCTTAGGCAAAGATTTGGAGCAGAGGCATTTCACATAGGGATACAACGAATGAGTTCTTGGATGAGAAAAAAATGAAGGTGGGTCAAACTGACAAATTGATCCCTTTTTAATTGTACTTTTAATTAACAGAGTTAAACCTAATGGAAAGAATGTGCTACCAGAAAACAACAACTTAATGTCCTTTTATCATTACATAAAAAAGTAGAAGGGCCAGCAGGAGGTGTGGCGATTAAGGCACTGGACTCCCACATGTTCGACCACAGTTGGAGTATACAGACCTGCCAGCTTGAAAATCGGGCCAGACAGATGTGCATGTGTGCTCCAAATCCAGACAGAATGGAGGAGAAGGGATTGTTTGTGACCTTGGGGAAGGGGAGGGTGATTTCTCACTGTCCTCTCTCTGCTGTGTGCAGGTGCCCTTTGGCAAAAACCTAAAAAAGAAAAAAGAAGAAGAAGGAGGAGGAGGAGGAGGTGGAGGAGGAGGAGGAGGAAGAGGAGGAGGAGGGGGAAGAGAGGAGGAGGAGGAGGAGAAGGAGAAGGAGAAGGAGAAGGAGAAGGAGAAGGAGAAGAAGAAAGGTAGGTATTTGGGCAGCTCTTCAAGTCTCAACGAATAGAACTTCCAGTTCCAAAGGAACTGCTTGCTTCTAGAAAAAAGCAGCCAGAACCTTTTAGGCTGTATTCCTTTCCCCATCCAATCGCAGAGAGACCCATATTTTTTTTGTGCAGCTAATTGGCTACTGTAAAAGCCTGCGTGAGCAAAGACCAATGAGCTCTCTGTGCCCAGATTCTTGGAAATAGTTTCTGGCTGGAAGCCCTTCTGCCCGGCCTCCCCGCCCCTGGGACCCGGGGCTGTCTCCCAAGGGGTTGATCTTGCGCCCACGTTGGCCCACATGTCCGTTTCCTACGTGACCTCCTTCTCATCCTTTGCTCCTCATAGTCCCTGGCACTGGTGCAGTGTTATTCTGCGGTCACCATGCCAGGTCACCCCGCGGGAACAGCGGCCGGGGGGCGGGCCTCAAAGTTCTTTCTCTGAACTGATTGGCGTTCCCCAAGTTCAGGACGTTCCCCAGTGACTCCTCCCAATTGGGATGGGGTGGGAGTGCGGCCGGGATAAATAAAACCGCGAGAGGCAGCCGGTGGTGGGAAGACACAAACTTGACTCTCCAGCCGTTGCACTTCAGATTCACTGCTGCACCCCCAAACCTCAACCCAGACCCGGGTGAGAGCGCCGGAAGAACACCTGCGGTCCCGGTTCTGACGCGCCGCGCGCTGTCCTCGGACCCAGGTTCTGCACCTGTCAGCCTTCGCTCTTCGAGCCAGCCCCAGCACCAGTACCTGCCAAGCCCGGTGGGCGTCAAGATGAAGGCGGCCCGCTTCGTGATGCGCAGCGCCGGCTCGCTGAGCGGCGCTAGCCTGGTCCCCCGAGAGGTCGAGCATTTCTCACGCTACAGCCCGTCCCCGCTGTCCATGAAGCAGCTGCTGGACTTTGGTGAGAGGGAGCTTAGGGCCTGGACGTGGGGCACTAGTTCTGGGAAGCTGCCTTTACTTTCAGCGCTAGGAATAAGGGAGGGCTGGGCTCTGGACCGACATCTGGGATCCACTTTGCCAGCGCACCTTGCTTGTTCTAGATCTGAAAACTTTCTGATAGCTTGAGCCTCCGGCTGAAGGCCACCAGCAGCTCCGCTGCTACTGGATGGTTTAAGCCCTTCGATCCTCTTCTTCCTGCACAGATCTTCCAGTCAAAATACGTTTTCCTTTCAGTCACCATTTAACAATTGACTGGAAACTTGATCCCCCCCCCCCATTACAGAATATTACTTCTTGGAGAAGAGTCCTAATATTGTAAAGTAGCCTCAAATTAACATACGGTATCCCTTAGCCTCCCTATAGTCCTCCACGGGTATGTCTCTCTGAATTCCTAACAGATTGCATTTCTTTACCATTTACTTGTTTCTTTTCCATATATTTGCTTAACTGCTGAAAGTATTGAAGTGCTTGCTGAAGGAATCTTAAATAGGAAAAGTTTGAAGGTTTTAAATGTGGGGTATTTATTTTATCACTGTTCTGGAAACTTTAGGACTCTCAGTGCACCTCCTTACCCCCCAACTCTGATTTCACGTCTAGACTCTTTATAGGATAATGTGTTGTCGACACTGTGGGAACACTAAGAACTGTGGGATAGTCTGACTTCTGGGAAGTGACTCTTTTCGAAAAGAGTAAACAATAATTCTCTAATGATCAAAGAAAGAAAATACCTGCTACTAAGTTATCTATAAATACTAAGTCAATAGAGAGTGAAATTGATGTCATTTTATAATATATATGTATTCAATATTTGCTAGTTAATTCTATTAAAATATATCATTTAGACATACTTTTCCCCAAAAAACTAAATAAATTTAATTTACTATAGGTTCAGAAAATGCATGTGAAAGAACTTCTTTTGCATTTTTGAGACAAGAATTGCCTGTGAGGCTAGCCAATATCCTGAAGGAAATTGATATCCTCCCTGATCGATTAGTAAATACCTCTTCAGTGCAACTGGTTAAGAGCTGGTAAGTGCTGAACCATTCTGGAGTATCTAGTTTAAAGACAATTATCTGAGTATGGTTTCTCATAATAACATTATAACTGGAAAACAAGTGGTCTGAATAGTGAATACGTTTGAAAGATGCTAAGTATCTAATCTCTAGTTTATTAATCTAGGGTACATTATTAATGGGGAGTTATTAAACTCTAAACAAAAGTTTGCACTCTAAAAAAGTAGATACTTTTCAAATATAATTTTGATTTGTAAAAGGACTTCGAAAAATAATTGCTATATGCAACTTTAATTTTCAATTAATTTTAACTTTGTACTTTAGTAGAAGACAGAGTTTGATGATGCAAAGGAAATTTTGTCTGGAAAAATAAACTATATAAGTGGTTATGATTTAGGGAGGACCCATCTTTGTTACTTACAAAGTGATACACATAGTAGGTTCTAGGTTCAAATCCTACCTCTGCTACTTCCTAGTTGTGGAATCCTCGACATGTGTTTTAAATTCTCTATGCCTCAATTTCTCTAGTTTTATTAAGGAGGATAAAGTATATGCCTCACGGGGATGTCTGAGTGTAATTAAATGAAGTAATTCATCAAACAAACAAAAGTTAGAACAGTACCCAGCATGCAGCCAGTATCAGCATCAGTTATTATCATCTCATTTTACAAATAAAGGTACTTATGCCTAGAGAAGGTAGATAACCCAGAAGAGCAGATTTTCAGAGAACAGAGCCTGTGGCAGACATGCACCAGAGACTCACCCTAATCCACTGACTGTACAGTTTTTAGTTCATTGAGTCAAAAAATATGTGTATTAAATACCCATAAAACAATCAGGATCTCAAACACATATTCAATTTGTAGTATTTACTTCTGCTTTCAAGACTTCTGCTCCCTTACAGATTAATAAAGCAGGGAAAAGTCTTTATAGAAAATTGTTTCTAAGCAATTTTGGTAGAATGTGAATGTGAAATGTGAAAGCCACGGATGATATGAATGTGCAAGCAAACATCAGAAAACTAAATACCTAGGACACTTAGAGAAATATTTTAAGTTAAATTTTAAGTTAATAAATGGAAGATTAAAAGTTGTAGCCTTTTTATTTTTCTATCATACTGTTTTCCAAATGGTCCAAAGGAAACATTTCGATTTAGAATGTATTGTTTACCTTCTCTTTTTAAATCACTTGAAAAATCATTCTATTGCAATTGTTGTGTATCTGACTATTCATTTTAACACTTAAAACACATCTGTTGCTTTACAGGTATATCCAGAGCCTGATGGATTTGGTAGAATTTCATGAGAAAAGCCCAGATGACCAGAAAGCTTTATCAGAGTAAGCTCTATACATATTTAAAACTTTACTTATCTCCAAATATATGCCTAAAACATTTTTTAGAACAAAATTTAAAAGAGCTCCCACCCTAAATAATAAATTACTACCCTTTTACAGATGACAAGTGTTGGTTTGTTGGTGTTTGAGAAGCTAAGGAATAGGGTATTGTAAATGATGTTGAATATGAGCAACTGTAGAGGATTTGTTAAAAGTATTTATTTCTTTAACTTTATTTATTATCATTATTTTTTAAAATTTACTATGGGGCATATGTACTCACCAGAGAGAGGGAGAGGAGAGAGAGAGAAAGAGAGAGAGAGAGGAAGCCCCCAGAAAATTGTTTTAAGAAAATATATTTTTACTGTAAATTTAGTCCAGTGATTAGATTTATAAAAAAGATTTACTATTATCTAATTTTAATACATTTTGGTGTCATTGGAGAGCAAACAACCATTTTCTTTCAGAGTAATTGCCCGTTTGTAGCAACCTAAATAAAAATCTTTTTCTGACAAGAAATTTTGATACTGTTTTCACAATAGCATTCTAGAATCATCTTTTGTATTAGTTATCATTTTTTTAAGAGAAGGCTTAACAAACATCAATAATAAACACACCATTACAGAGCTGGTAGTTTTACATGCATGCTAAAAGCAAAATAAATCTGTCTATGAAACTATCTCGTCTACTCTAATAGAAAAAACTGTAGTGAGAGCTCTGATAAACTTTACTCTAGCATGTTATCAGTTGATTTGTTCAGATGGATATCACAAAAAGAGCTTTAGTCTTCTTTGTAATCTAAGTAATATAAATGAATGAAATTTACTTGAACTCTAATACAAATGTTATGGCTTAGCTTTGTAGATACACTCATCAAAGTTAGAAATAGACATCATAACGTAGTCCCAACGATGGCACAAGGCATCATCGAGTATAAAGATGGCTGTACGGTTGACCCAGTCACCAATCAAAATCTTCAGTATTTTTTGGATCGATTTTACATGAATCGTATTTCTACTCGGATGCTGATGAACCAGCATAGTAAGTGTATCTCATCATAATCATAATATAAAGAAATGGGTGTTAATTGTAACTACAGTTTCACTAGTAGGTGGTCACATACTTTCTTAGTAATAGTTCTAATCATTATCCTCATTCTTACAGTGACATTTTTCTGTTTTTATTTTTCAATAGTTCTTATATTTAGTGACTCAAAGACAGGAAACCCAACCCACATTGGAAGCATTGATCCTAACTGTGATGTAGCAGCTGTGGTTCAAGGTAATTTCCAGATTTCTGCATTTCCCTTACTGAAAATGTAGGATAATATGATTGACATATTTATAATTGAGGCTAGCCTATGAGCAAATTCATTTTCACAGTATTCCCATTTATGTTTCTGTAAGTGCTATCTTCAAGGACCTTTGCTTTTGTGAGTCAGGGATGTAAACATTCATGTATGTAATATTGTAAAAAATCCAAACATAAGTATCTAATGTGGCATATTCTTATACATTGTACTTTGTCTTTAAAATGCCCCTATACCTATTGCTACAACTACAGCTTAGACACTGTTTTAATTTTTCCTTCAATAAAATATTAAAAAGGTAGTTTTCATATACACAAGTCTGTAATTTAGTGAGTGTTCTAGATTAAGAACAGTATACACAGTGAACAACATTGGAGAACTGTACTTAGCATACATTTATTTTTATGAAAAATTGTTCTTTTCCAGATGCCTTTGAGTGCTCAAAGATGCTCTGTGATCAGTACTATTTAACATCTCCTGAATTAAAACTCACACAAGTGAATGGTAAGCTATAAATACAAAATATTTTAACTTAGGGAAAATTTAATATTCTCCCAGTATGATGATTCTTTTGGGTAAATATAAAGCAAATGTTGAGTTCCTTTTTTCTCTTCCATATTTGCCTAGAATTTAAACTCTTTTTCTTTTTGGAAGCCAAGATTCAACTTCACTGTGGCCAGAAAGCTCTAGTTAGTTATGCATATTCGGTTACTAATGACAATTCATAAAGAAGGATGATTGGAACAAATAATTTGCGATTTAAAGTAGCAAATAGGTTCCAATGTCCTGGATCAAGGAAAAACTGACTACCACAGATTATGAGGAATAAGGAGACTAGAAATAGGGTGGACAGAGGAGATATCCTTCTAAAGAGGTTATCAGCAACCTGGAACCTGAAGTGCTTTAAATTGCACTGAGTAATACTGCATAAGTCCACTTACATGAAGTATCTGAAATAGTCATTCTCACAGAAGCAGAGAGTGGAATGATGGTTGCCAGGTGCTGCGAGAGGGGAAAATGAGTTGCTTTTCAAGAGGTATAAAGTTTCAGTTATGCAAGATAAATTAATTCTTGAGGTTTACTGTACAACATAGTGCCTATGGTTAACAATACTGTATTGTATACTTAAAAATTTTATTGGGACCAGCAGTTAGTGTAATGGTGCCAGGTGTTGGGAGAGAGGAAAATGGGGAGCTGCTTTTTAAGAGGTATAAAGTTTCAGTTATGCAAGATAAATTAATTCTTGAGGTTTACTGTACAACATAGTGCCTATGGTTAACAATACTGTATTGTATACTTAAAAATTTTATTGGGACCAGCAGTTAGTGTAATGGCTATGTCGCTGGACTCCCACGTAGTTGACTGTGGTTCGCGTCCCGGACCCGGTGGCTTAAAACTCACACCAGATGCGTGTGCGTGCGTGCCCAAGATCCTGAGAGGAGAATGGAGAAGGGATTGCAGTGTGGCCATCCTCCCTGGGGGGTGATTTCTCACTTTCTGTCTCTCTGTCTCTCTCTGTCTGTCTGGCAAGTGCACGCGCCCTATAGCGAAAACCTCTCAAAAAAATTTATTAAAAAGATAGATCTCAGGTTAAATTTTCTTACCATGATAAGGAAAAAATGCACTATAAGTATATATCACTGTTTTGGATACAGAACATACTTAAGAGCTTCAACTCCAGTGTGTCTGAGAAAACAAGGTCTTACTTCCTTGACGGAAGTGATCATGTGAGAATACAAGGCCCCATTTTGATCCTAGTCCATCCTGTTCTAGAAGATAGTTGAATCTCAAAGCAAGACAACATACTCTAATTAGGACTACCTTCTTCTTTCTACTTAATGGAAATATCTTTTTCACGCAGTATTTATACATAAACAATTTTTGTTATTAATAAGAGTTCAAATCAAGTTGCTCAAATTAAGAGTCGAATAACATAGATCGGGAACATGAAAATGTAAGTGAATGCGAAACTAAAAGTAGAGATACAAATAAAGAGAGAGAAATCCTTTTAAGAATAAACAACGTTGTTGCATAATTCTTGTAGATAAACTGCTTGAACTGTGTGATAAAATAAAGAGGGGATTGTGCCAGACCTTGTGTTTTCTGATTCAAACTTTGCCAAGGCCTGGAGCACTGAAGAATAATACTTTATTTTTCTTCTCAAACAGTATTATGAGGTTTTTGTTTCTCTGTTTTCTTTAGCCTCTTGGTGAAATTTAACCATATTCAGCATGTAAGATTTAATGTTTGAGTGTTACAAAACCAAGGAAAATCAGATCTGTTATTTACCATGCATTTAAAACATAAAAATTATAGTTAGTGTTAATTTCAATGCTATGCCATAAGGTATATACCATATGGTTTTCTTTTTTCTGCTTCCTTAAAATGCATATAATTTTAACTCTGAAATTGTCCAAAACAAACCTATTAAAAATAAAAAATAATAATCCATGTAATCCAATTTATATCATTTATACCATTGACTTACACTTTCTCTAACTTTATACATTTGTGGAAAAGTACAAAAATTAATCACAGAGCACTTAGTAGCAACTGTAACAGCATTTTGAAGACAAGTCAGTCCTATATGCTGTTCAATAGAAAAGTTCCAGGGCAAAAGTTTGGAGTAGGAAAGACAGGGAATATGCCAACCCTTTTTAAGTCTCACATGTTAATCTCATATTTATGGAGGTTTATTTTGGTGACATGTTTGTTTCCCAGTTCTCAATGAGTGTAATTTTTCTAGGAAAATCTCCAGACCAACCAATTCATATCGTGTATGTTCCTTCTCATCTTCATCATATGCTCTTTGAACTATTCAAGGTAAGATACTTCACCATTTTGTCTTTAAAAAGTTAATTATAATTTTGTTTCTTTTTTCCTTCTCCCATTAAACTGGAGCCTTGTTATCTTTTCTCAAGAATGCTTCTGTACTCCTAAGAGAAGGAAGCTGAACCGTCAATGTTTGAAAGCACACATACAGTTCCCTGTGCCATCACCACGTATTTGAGAATGCACCATATGATTCAGGGTGTCTTAATGGTTTAGGGTGGGAAGATGTTCCCATTATTTTTCAGGGGTCCAACAAAGCACTAGTCAGTCATCATTCATTCCTTCATTCATTCATCAAGAGAGGTCATATGGTGAGGGCTTAAGGAAATGAGAATTGTTACCTCCATCCCCCATAGCTGGTCCAACTCCAGATGCAAAAGGTTCCGGTCCAGAATTATTATAGGTAGCATGGCTCCATTCTGAGTCTAGAATATGCACAAAAAACAGTTTTTTCAACAATCTACTCTGAAGTATATGTGTACCATAGGCTCTTTCTTAAAATGCAAATTCTGATTCAGTGCATTGGAAGCGTTGGCCAAAGATTCTAATTTTCTAATAAACAAATTGGTGATGCTGGTCTGTAGACCATACTTTGCGTGGTAGCCCTGTAGAGCAGCACTTCTCAAACTATGGTGCATGCCAGAATCCCCAGAGGTTTTGTTGGAACATATATTCTGGGGCTCTACTCCAGAGATTTTGACTGTCTAGGTCTGCAAATTTGCATTTCTAATGAACTCCAAGGGGATACAGATGTTCCTGGTTAGGGTAGCCAGTTGCCAAGAATCAAATCCTTTCATGGATTCCAAGATCAAACTAAAACTCTTTATTTAAATTAAAAAAAGAAAAAGAAAAAAATGCCTGAAGCTTTGTGGTACTCCCCAAGTGTCCTCAGGACTGGAGAGGAAGAACCCTAAAAAAGTGAAATCTGCCTCCTATTCTAGCATAATTCTCTTCAGAAATGACAGTTTTCTAGCTTATTTTAATATTACTGCAGTGAGGAATTGATATTACTTCAAACACCTCATCTATTTTATTTCACTTCAGCTAATGACTAGAACTTAATATTATATATAAGCCAGAAGGCAGATAAGAAATGGTTAGAGACGACAATGATTTAAATAAACCAGGATTATATGAGATTTCTATATGAAAACTTGTTTAGTTTGCTCAATGTTAAAGAATGAAAGGTACTTTTTCATTGATTTGATATATTTATAAGTTGAATGATGCAAATCATGAAGTTATTTTGCCATCATTGGTAAAAGTTAAGATGATAATCAAATGCAAATTGAAATTTAATTTAGAATTATAGACTGTACTTTTAAATAGTAGCAACCTTTTCCCAGTAAATTTTATAAAAGCCAATAAACTGGTTCAATGATTCACTGTTCATTTGTTATATAATAGTCTTTGGTGCTTGGATATAAAATGTAATGGAAAGACAGAAAAGGGAGAGCTAGGAAGTGGACTATAAAAACCAATTTCTACATTTAAATTAAGCTTACAAATAAGAATTTGACAGTGAGCAGAATTGTTTTTCCATTAGACATTACTCCCAGGAGCTATATTATATGGTAAATGAATGTTTTTCATTATACATCCTGTATGACATATTCATAAATGGCTATTTACAGAGCTGTTTTACTACTAACTTCAAAAAAATAGGAACTTAGAATTGCTCTTTGTGCTGCTTTTATTTTAAACATAAAAAAACCAGCTATTTATTGTTCATAATTCTGCCATTGAATTCCTTATGGGTTTGTTTTCTTTAGAATGCGATGAGAGCAACAGTCGAACACCAGGAAAATTGGCCTTCCCTTACACCCATTGAGGTGATTGTTGTCTTGGGAAAAGAAGACCTTACAATTAAGGTAACTATTCTCTGTTTTTTGTTCGGGTCTCTCTGGAGAGAATTAAAAAGGGTCGATCATAACTAAGCTCTGCTTTTGACAGTAGCTAAGTCACCTATACTAGGTGACTTTTTAATGAGAGGAAGACATTTGTACTATAGACTAATGCATGCTGCTCCTAATGTGCAACTCTGATGACTTGTTTATTTGTTTAAGATTTCAGACAGAGGAGGTGGTGTTCCTCTGAGGATTATTGACCGCCTCTTCAGTTACACATACTCTACTGCACCAACACCTGTGATGGATAATTCCAGAAATGCTCCTTTGGTAAGATCAGTTATATGACTAACTTCATCCCAGCCTCCTACTTCTTTTTATTTTTTTAAATTTATTTATTTACATTCATTCACCGTACATCATTACAGCATACAAAATGAGATTTTCCATCCAGAGTACACTGTATATTGTCTCAGTCAAGCACATCAACATATATGTTATTGTCAACAAATAATTTTCCATTTCTTGTTTCCTGTATGTTTTGCTTTTTTTCCCCCCATCCTTGATTCCCTATCTCTTACCCTCTGCCATCTCCCACTCTCCTCCCATACTGTCTCTGGTATCTATGTTTGCTTTCTATACTGTTTTCCCCCCACATTTTATTGAATTACTAAAGATGTTAATTAATCTAAATATTTTCATAGCAAACACAGCTGATACATACATTTCCATGAACACAAGTCTAACTTTAGGCATCCTATAAAGTAGCACCTAGCTGGGGCTATATATTTTACTGCAGTCATCAAATTTGATACTCTAGCCTCCTACTTCTAAATGTAGAACCACAGTTACAGGAAAGTATTTAAACAAGTCAATCCATTTCATTAAATTAGGCATGAGGGATATGAGAAAGAATGTTAGAACAAGTTAAAAAGAAAGGGTGAAATGATTCTACAAGGGGTCTCTAATGGAAAACAGAAGACATTTATTTAAGTTCTAGGACATCAGTATCGGTGAGGTTAATAACTCATTTTTACATTTTATATTCCAATGAACATGTTCAATTCTTTAATGATAACTGGTGCTTCCCTTCTAGGCTGGTTTTGGTTATGGCTTGCCAATCTCTCGTCTCTATGCCAAGTACTTTCAAGGAGATCTCAATCTCTACTCCTTGTCAGGATATGGAACAGATGCTATCATCTACTTAAAGGTATCCTTTGAATTCAATAAATAAGTCGTATTTCTAAAATGATCCCTTCTCTAGCCCTGAGTTCTATGGTCCAGAGAGAATTCTCCAAACTGAGCTAATGCAAACAATGACCACAAGTCATTCTATTTTCTGTGAGTGTGTGTATATATACTATTTGATATCATAACTTACCAAAGAGGAAGTTGGGCCATACTACCTGACTCAAGTGAAGCAATAAGACATGTTTCCCAAAATTTCCACAGTTAGAGTGAAGACATCCTTATGTGACTTGTTAAAAGCAACTTCTTTTTTTTTTTTTTTTTTTTTTGAGAGGTTTTTGCTATAGGGCGCGTGCACGCGCCAGACAGAAAGAGAGCGACAGAAAGCGCGAAATCCCCCCCCAGGGGGGATGGCCATGCCACAATCCCTTCTCCTCCATTCTCCTCTTGGGATCTTGGGCACGCACGCACATGCACCCAGCGTGAGGTTAAGCCACCGCATCCGGGACTCAAACCGCGGTCGACTACATGGGAGTCTAGCGACACAGCCATTACGCTAACTGCTGGTCCCAAAGGCAACTTCTTTTGGCATCTGTGAGAGTAGGTGTACTTTCCTTCACTTGAACTTGTGAAAGATATATGCTAATAATGTTCCAACCTAGGAAAACAACAGATATCAAGATACTGAAGACCTTAAGCTGACCTTATTATAAATCCAGAGAGGAAAGCTGACTGCTCACATGCTGTCAGTGGGATGGCAGGCATTTCCTCTTTGAACTTTAAAACTTGGTTCATGTTTTTTTTTTTTCTAGTTTTGATAAAGCCTCAACTTAACTGTGAAGTTCACTCTCCTGATTCTGTTAATCATTTGCCAACTATTTCAACTGAAAATACATTGGGTCGGCCGAAAAGTCATCCTGCATTTTTGCATAGAAAAACATGTCATGACTTTTCCAACGATCTGAAATTTATAATATTAGAATAAAAACATTAAACTTCCAGGCTCTCATTTTGTGTTTTGGAATTCTTTGCCAAATGGAATTTGGCTCTCTAAAAAAATAACATATTCATTTCTTAAATGAGTAAATCTTCAGACTACTGGGAAGGGTTTTCTTATAACTTCATAGTATCCGATTAGAGCTATGATATAGATATTTTCCCTGGAAAGACTAACTTTGCTATTCAACTCTGTCATATCAGCAGTATTTGAAGACAGGGTACTGATATTGGACACAAATGGTAATCTTTATAATTGCATATGTACAATGGAGACTTGACCCTTCCCCTATTGGGTGGAGATAAAACTTATTTTTCAGTTTTGTTTTATATAGTGCCCAGTAGACCATGGGCACTGGTGTGCTTTTATTACTAAATCAATTAAATGAATATATTTGAATGTTTGAATACTTACATCTAAATGTATTTTGGATAATCATCTCAAGTACAAATTATGCAACTCATAATCTCTTTGGTTTGATGTTGTTTCCCCTCTCCTAGGCTTTATCTTCTGAGTCTATAGAAAAACTCCCCGTCTTTAACAAGTCAGCTTTCAAACATTATCAGATGAGCACCGAGGCTGACGACTGGTGTATCCCGAGCAGGGAACCAAAGAACCTTGCAAACAAAGTAGTGGCCGTGTGAAGAGGGACACTCAGGACATTTTATGGGAACAAAGTGGGTCTGTGATAGTGCTGCTTCCTGAATGTCTGTGTGTTTTTTTCAAAAACAAATGACAAGCAACAAGAAATGCCCTGGTCAGAACATTGATCCAATGAGGAATGGTGTGTATTTCTGTAACCCAGGAGAGCATAGAACTGGACCATGGATGTTAACAGGTGACAGTTCCGAGGTGATTTTAAACATAGACTAGCTCATGAGTTTATGTCAGATCCTAAAGAAGAAATAAGCTTCAGTTTTCCATATTGTATCACCAAGGATGGGACAGGGAGTGAACGTGAAGATATGTTAGAAATTTCAGTCGATTGATATTTTAGGCTTCTTGTTAACATCAAAAGATATTGGTATTCATTGGATAAAAGCATTGATATACCAGGACTTGCCTGCCATGCAAAGGATTAGAGCTGAGTTTACGTTATGTGATTAGAAATGTATGTACATGTACATTTCATATGTGTTTATGTGCTCTAGAGAGGCTGGTAACTAAAATAATGTTCACTTTGAATGAAAAGGAATGAGTCTAAGCGTTTTATTCAAAGTTGCAGCCGAGGCATTGAGCCTATGTGAAAACTCAGAAGAAGCTTCTTCTGATAAGTACAGTTCCATTATTATGCTGCTTTTCCTGTTCACACAGTAAGTGAACACATTCCCAGGTGCCTAGTGTGGGTGACTTGTTAGCATGTGCAATGAACTCTGGATGTTAGGGGTTGGACAGAGAGAGAGAGGATGACCAAAGTGATAGCAACAATATCTCTGACCTTGTTTTGTTTAGAACTGAAACAGTAGGTCGGTAAAACCACGTTAAGCAAAAAATTCATGCCAGGAAACCAACACAGTAGGAAGGGCTGTTCTCTACCTTGAAGTTGTGGTAATCCAAAGTACCATTTTCTAGGATTAAAATGATGTATTTTTTTATATATAGTTAATTACATTCTCTACACTCCAGCATTAACATGTCTGTTAAAAGTTTCTACTTATCTAATGGCTCAAGAACATTGGAATTTAAATACTTCTTTGGGTATTTTTTAACAAATAACCTGGAAGTACAAGGTTCTCATGCCAATGTGCTTTCATTTGTGAATTGTTGCAGTTGAGAACTAATGAATGAAAGCTATAATATACATGGTACTTTGAGCAAATTAACGTGTAATATGCAGTTTGACAGGCCAGTCTTGCAGGTCACACTTAGAGAAAATGAAATAAAAGAGTGAAAGGAAGGGAGATAAGGAGATAGGAAGGGACAGAAGCAGAAGGCAGGCATCTTTCTATTTTCCCCCACAAGTTATTTCCAGAAATTATCTATATTTTTATGGATAACTTATTGAGAAAAAAAGTAAATTGGTGTCTTTCAAAGGACTGTGGCTTCTTTAAATATGGCTCTCATTCTTACATAATAGCAGGCTTTTATGAGATAATAAATTCATCTGTGTCAAATTAAATACTTAAACTGATATGTAGAAAAAAATTTTGGATTTTCTGCATTGTAAAATATTACTGTTTGAATGGTGAATTTAACATTTGTGTTTAATTTTGTGATGGCCTGTGTTGTGTTGCAGCGCTGCTGATCGAGGCAATAGAAACCTCAACCATTTGTTGTGAATTTCAAATTTTATCATAAGCAGTTCTTAACAGTGACTTTTCTTGATGGTGGGACTCTGGCTCATGCTTTTATTGATTATGTAAAACTGTTTTTAATGGGTTATTTGTTGTTTCTGTTTTATCCTGAAATTTGAGCTAAAGATTTTTGCATGTAAATATTTATATTTACCAAAGATTTTAAAGCAGTTGATTAATTAATTAATTCAAACACTGTGAACTATCTTTAAACACTATAGAAAAAGAAATGTGAGTATCTCAATGATATCAACTGTGTAAATGGAGTTCTATAATAGAAATAGTCTACATTGGTATTTGTGAAACGTATGAAGAGTTTTAGGATTCTGGCAGGTAATTACTGAATGCTCAGGCCCACTTGAATTATCAATGTATAAAACTGTATTTTTGTCTTTAGGTTATGTACAGAGAAATGTATTAATTTTTATAATAAATATTTTTGTTATAATAGCTGACAGTCTTTTAAAGTTTTTTTCTCAAGTTACCTCCAAATTCTAAGAATTTGAGTTAAAGGTTTTTCTCACTTTACAGTCAATCACAATTTACCTATAAATTGGGGAATTCCTTTTAAAAGTATTAAAATAAACTTAAAATCTTCATTTTTAAATGAAAGATAAGTACTTTATAGCAGTTCACAAATTTCTCATGATATGTCTCATGTAGTTAGTGTTTATCCACATACGTATATTTAATAATCATTTTTGCAATGTATAGATTACCTACCTTTTTTTAGTGAATTAAAAGTTGCATTCAGTGTCTGTGTTTGCATAAATACAGTGGAGTAACAAAATAATTACCTAGATAATTTAGGTTCTCAAACAACTTCAGGATTAAGTATCTAAATGACAATATAGCAGAAATAGAATAGAAAGTACTAAATTCTATTGTGGCACATATTATCTTGCTATCTTTATTTCCTTTTTTTTTTTTTTACTAATTTAGACCTACATTATCTTTAGACAACAGCTGCTGCCCACCTCCGTAATGCCTTACAAGCAAGGTTCTGCAAATAGAAAAAACAAATAAAATAAAAAAGGAAGGAAGGAATGGAGAGAAGGACGAAGACCAAGTAGACTAAATGAAATTAGTACAATAAGTCTGTCACAAATAAATTAAAAAATCTTGTCAAAAAATCATATTTGGATAAAAAAATAATGGGACCGAAGAGGCTGGGAAATTCCACATATATTTTTGGCATTGCTATACATATATTATAAACATAAATGCACCTACTACTTTTTGTACAGTGACAAAAAGTAGTAAGAGTATGCTCTACAAGGCTGACCCACATGGAGGGTTCTAAGCAGGCACACAAACATGATCCAGGCTGGCTGCAATTGGGGGTGGATCAAGGTATCAAGACATTGTTGGGGGGAGGGGGTGCCTACTGCACTCTCTCTCTCATGGAAAAAAGAAAATGTAAGAAAATAAAAAATAAAGAGTCTTTGGGACCAGCAGTTGGTGTAATGGCTATGTCGCTGGACTCCCATGTAGTCGACTATGGTTCAAGGCCTGGACCCAGCGGCTTAAACTCACGCCTGGCGCGTGGGCATGCGTGCCCAGGATCCTGAGAGGAGAATGAAGGAGAAGGGATTGTGGCGTGGCCATCCCACCTGGGGGGGGATTACTTGTTTTCTGTCTCTGCGTCTCTCTCTGTCTTTCTGGCGAGCACACATGCCCTATAGCAAAAAAACCACTCCAAAAAAAAAAAAAAGTCTTTCAGCATAAAGCATTAAATTCTGATATTTTTCACCAATGACACTCACTTTGTTTGATTGCCTTCTGCTGCTCTGTCAGAGAAGCACTACTACACCATATATCCCTAAAGGAAGTGAGTGCTCTTCCATGAGATTCAGCTGTATAGTTTCTCTGGAGTAGCTGCAAAGAAGTCCAGAGTTGGTACACTCCACAGGCTCAGAATCTTCAATCATTCCCATAAAAACTGCAATATGGGGACCAACAGTTAGCCTAATGGCTATGTCACTGGACTCATATGAGGTCGACTGAGGTTCAAGTCCCGGACCCGGTAGCTTAAACTCACACCAGGTGCGTGTGCATGTGTGCCCAAGACCCCAAGAGGAGAACGGAGGAGAAGAGATTGCAGCGTGGCCATCCCCCCTGGGGGGTGATTTCTTGCTTTCTGTCTCTCTGTCTGTCTGGCGAATGCACATGCCCTATAGCAAAAACCCCTCCAAAAAAGGAAAAAAAAAACCAAAGCAACTGCAATATGTTGAGTCCCACAAATCTCCACATACCTGTAAGCACACAAATATCTTTTTGACTCAAGTCAATGTATGTACCTTGAAGAATACTGATTTTCAAGTATAACAAAGTAGGTCAAATTTTCATCAAAATTATCTTGAGGACACTTCTACCAAATTTTGAATTTATCTCGAAATAGTATGAGCGTTCGATCTCAACTACCATGACATGTGCAGAGAGAGATCATTGTGCACCCTTCGCCTAGCTATCAACCTTAATCATTTCTTTATTCTCCTGCTACACTCTCAGGGGTGCATTTATGTTTGTAATATGTGTATAACAATGCCAAAAATATATGTGGAATTTCCCAGTCTCTGGTCTGTACTGATGGAAGAGTTGAGGGACTTGGACGATTTCAGTTACTGAGCCTCCCTGTGAACATCCAGAACAGTGAAGTTCTATCCCCATTAGCATTCTATCTGTGTATTTTTGAGGGGAAAGTTATCACTGTTTAGCTCATATCACAGTTACTTAATAAACTGTCACTGTGTTCACATGTATGAACCCATAAATAAACTTCTGGCTTTAGAATAACATCCCTGAATTTAAAGGTAGATTAGAACCTTATGTTAAACCACTGTACATCAATTTTTGTAAGATTCTGTACTTTACCTGATATCCAAGAGGTTTTACAATATCGCAGAAACTCTGGAATGTGTTTCCAAACCAGTTAAATTGCAACCGATCTTTGTTCAGTGTACTCTCTATTAGTGGCTTTGGCTTTTGGAAATTACCATGTATTTCACAAGACATTAAATGATGGTTGAAGTTACCCTTACTAAGTATATTTCTTGAGAAAGCAGACAGTGTTTCAGGTTGTATAAGTAGTCTTTCTTCTTATTCACCCTGGACACAGAGGAAAACATATTACTATCCATATATTATGGCTTCATAAGGGAAATAAACTATGGTCTATTGAAATTTCTTGGTTCCTACCCAAGTGCAAACAAACATTAAAGCCACGTAAAGCCAACAGAAATGTCAATAGCCTTGAAAACATGTTGAATCTATTAAATGATGTGAAAATTATGTGAACTGTCTTATTGATAAATCCAGGAACAAAGTGATAAAGTTCATCAACTAACAGTGAGACATCATTTTCATGTTTACTGCTACTCTTTAATGTAATGGAAATAACACCAGATTGGCTGTCAAATAATACAACAGACCTAGGAATTATTTACTAGCATACTGTTTTCTTTAAATGTGCAAAGATGCTTTAATACTAAGTCATAGAATGTATTGACTGACAAGTCCGGAATTTGTATCCATTTTATAAAACTAAACTCTTTAATGCATTTCTAGTCAAATTGACATTTGGTGGAATTGTCCTTATTTCAATGTTTTGCCTTACATTTACTTTAAAGATTAAAGAATTCGCTTACTATTATAAATTGGTGATATGAAATTAAAAGAACAATTTGAAAACAAAAACTGCATACCATGTTCTCAGGAAATTCTATTTGAGTCCCAGTTTTCTTTTCTACCTAATGAGGTCTTATTGTACAAAGAAGGCACCTCAAATTCTAAATGTTAGAAACTAAATTTTCTAATAATTACATATTGAGTACCCTGTCTGCAATGTTTCTTCAGTTCACCTACACAACAGTGCCAGGTTAATTCTCCTAACCCAGCCTTCTCATATCACTGCCAAGTTCAAAATCTTTCACTGATTTCGCAGGGTCCAAGAATCTGATGTTTATATTTTTACTTTTTTACAATCTAACTACATGACAATTTATATCTCATAACTGGACTGTTCAATGTATTGTCTTTTAAACATTTGATAAACATATTCCTTTTTGTTCATTGTAAATATGCCTACATGAAATGCTCACCCTCTCATCCCTATTTTTTTTTCCTAAATGCTACTCAACCTTCTAGATCTAGCTGAAATCCCACCTCCATGGATTGGGCATCCCAACTTCCTCTAAACTCTCACATTGTTAAGACCATTTTAGTACTTGCCACTTAATTCTTAAGGTTGCTACTTAAAGATTATGAAAACCAACTAGAATGTGCATTTCCGACAATTCAGGACCATGAGTTATTCCTAATCCAGATGAAATCCATGGCATTAACCTTGTTTCATGTCCCTATGGTAGACATCAAAAATAATTTTTTAATTAATATATTTTTGATGAGTTGGGAAGACATAGGAAAGCAATAGCAACAATTCCTAATGGAGCATATTATTCTACTGATCTAAACCCAAAGCTCCGCACATTGATATGTTTCAATGGCCTTTGGCATTTCTTCTCAATCTGAGAAGAAGATATATTTATGTCCAAATGGATTATGGCCATAATATATACCTCCAAATACCTTAAATCCTTTATTTTAGGCTTCATACTCGGTCTGCCCTCAAGGCGCTTACAGTCCTATTGAACAGTCAGCGTAGAAGCATGTAAGAAGTTAAATCATAAACAAGGCTTTTAATAACAATTCAAGTCAAAAGTAGAAGAGATGCCATCATTCTGAATATACATAGCCAGGTAAGTGCACTAACGTAGCAGGATATTTAGCAAGAGAGACAGGACACTGAGGTTTTTAGCAGGAAAACAGCAGTTTATCTGTGCTGGCACTGGTTC